TCTGAGAACGTGTCGTGGTAGGCTTATGGGAGTGCCGGGACGGTCGATCCCTGCTCAATCGATTTGGCTCGAGAAGTGCCGCAGATGGATGGAGGCTGCGGCTCCGGTCGTGTCTTGTCGCGATGTTGAACTCTGTCGCCACGTCGGAGTTCAGGGTGCAACGCTGTGGGAACGGGGCGCCACGTGTCAGAGGAGGGAGAGGTACCGATACCACTACCGTCACCCCGTTTTCGCCTTTCTTCGCCTCCTGGGAGGCCCTTGTTGCTACGGCTGGATTCGTCTCGAGACCATGTTTGGAGTGCGCCCGTGGACAGGTCCGGGGAGCAGTGGCATCGGCACCCTTTCGTCCCTTCAGTTGCGGGCGGCGGGACGTCACGGGGTCCAGATTTTGAAAACGGTCTGGCTTGAGGGCTCGTCGCGTTCGTGAGGCCTTTTCCCACGTGCATCGCTGGGGCATTCGCCCATCCGTCGCAGACCTCACTCTCTCTGTCGGCTCGTCTCCCTCTGGCCGCTCCCTGTTCAGCCCTGCCCAGCCTCCGTCATTCAAACCGTCGCATCGTCCGTTGGCTTTTTCTGGTCTCGACCTCGTCCGACAGGAGGGCTCCCAGCAGATAGCGCCGCGTCGCAGTCTGGGCCCGAGAGTTGCCCTCTTTCTCCAGACCAGCGGGCGGCGCGAGAGCGCGAATCAGCCGTATTTCTGACCCTGCGCCCCGGAAGGCAATTTGGAACCATTCTGGAGAAGCACGCCTCTCCCCCCCCCCGCGCGCAGTTGCACGCCTGCGCTGACGCCCACAGCACCGCGCCACCGCTGATGGAGTGGCCACCCCCGGCAACATCGGCAAGAGGTGTTTGGCTACAGACCACCGCTGGGACCCAGTCGGCACGCTCCTGCCGTAGTCCACTTGCCGCCAGACAGTTCACCTCCGATCGAGGCCCCACTCCTTGGCCCAGCGGGTGGAGGTGGCGCAGCGCCCCTCGACTGCTACACCCTGTGGTGGCCGGAGAGATTTCTCCCGATCGTCCTCGGGCCGACCGGTTTCCGATCGACGGCCACCGGCCCACGCCACTCGTCGGGCGAGGCGTGCCATGGCTCTCCAGCGCCCGTCCTCGCCCGGGCTCGGTGCATCCCTGCTCCCTGCTGCCGAGGCCCCTCTCTCTCTTCCCTCCTCCTCGTCTTCCTCGCCTCTCCTCTCGGCTCCGAGCCTCCTCCCTGCCTCCCTGCTTCCTCCCGTGCTTTTATGTTCGTCGCTCCCTGCCTCTCTCGTCCCTCCTCCTCGTCTTCTCTCCCTCGTCTCTCCTCTCGGCTCTGAGCCTCCTCCGCCCGCCTCCCCCCGTGCGTTTCTGTGCGTCGTGGGCGGAGGTGGGCCCAGCGCCGACGGCGCTCGGGGCCCGGTCGGGAGCCTCCGCGGGAGGCGCCGTGGGCCAGGGGGGCCGCAGGGAGCAGCCCGGGGGAGGGCGGGGGGCAGCAGGAAGCATTAAGTCGGGCCTGTCCCCCTACAGGGTGATTTTCGACGAAAAAGAAAAAAATTGAAAAATAGTCCCAAAATAGTTTGGGGACTTTTTTTAATACAATTGTTTGACTATCCTGGGGCATTTTGGGGGTATGTTTTGTTTTTCGTCGAAAATCTCCCTGTAGGGGACCACGCCCGACATAAAGGAAGCAGGATGAACAATTGCCTGTTTGCTTGCGAACCCACTACAGCACACCCCCGCTGCCCGGAGCCAGGCACTGCCTCGCGCGCCGAAGGGCCCCCCCCCCAGGAGGGCGGCGAGCCTCTCCCGAGCGCAGGGCCTCCACGACGCATGTGACTGTTTATTTGAGGAACATATGAGGAACATGTTTACTTGTGTGTCCTGGGGCCCCATTCAATTACAGCAGACCCCCGCTGCCCGGGGCCAGGCACTGCCTCGCGCGCCGAGGGCCCCCCCCCCCCCCCCGGAGGGCGGCGAGCCTCTCCCGAGCGCAGGGCCTCCACGAGGCTCCAAAAAGGGAAGCGCGGGCCATCGATCCTTCGGGCGCGCGCGGGTCGGCGACGGGCCCCGTCTCCACAGGCGGAGGCGACGCGCTCTTCGTCGCCAAGCCCGGCGGCGTTTCGTCGCCGCGCGCAGAGGGGGGGGGGGGGACCCAGACCTCCTGGCGTCGTGAAAAAATCACGACGGGAGGTTTTTCGCTATTTTCGCCCTCTGGGGGCCCTTCCCGGGCCTCGGGGCCATCAAAAAACAATGCAGGACGGAAAACCGATCCCGGGGAAGGGGTCCAGACCTCTGGGGGGCGACGTCGTGAAAAAATCACGACGTCGGGGGTCTGGGGAGGGGGGAGGGCTTCCTAGAAGCACCCCTGCTTCTTAGGAGGCGCGGGCCTCACATCTATAGGTGCGAGGCCGGCGCCTTCCGAGAAGCAGGGGGGCTTCTAAGAAACCCTCCCCCCTCCTCCCACCCCCTTGTGCACGCCGCCAAGCGTCGGCTTCAGGTTCCGCCCCGAGCCGCGGTCCTGGCACCCGCGCGCCAGATCCACGGATCCGTCCGTAAGGAATGCCCGCGCGTGCCCGAACGGCGGGCTGTCAGGAACCGTTTTTTGTTCCACGGTGTGTTGTCTGCTCTTGGTTCTTATTGTCGGCACCGCCTGTTTTCTGAGCCCTCCGGCCGCCTGAGGCCCCGCCCGCCCGCGCCTTGTCTCCCCAATTAGGGCTACCCGCGTCCCGTTTAGCTCTTGACCGGAAGGGGCCCGCTCCCGACCCGCAGACCAAAAAAGTCTGCTCTTGGTGCAGAGAGCTCTTTCCCCCCTTCCCGCCCAGGACCGGCGCTTCACCCTGGGTCAGGGGCAGCGCCAGGGTGGGGTGGACCGGGGGGGGGGATGCATCGGCGTCCGATCGTCCACTCATCGCCGACAGGGTCAGGCGATCGCAAACATGGATCAAGGGGGCGTGGATTAGCGACGGGTCCCGTTTCCATGGGAAGTCGGAGATTTTCGCCGCCGAACGAGGCGGCACCAACCGCATTTTGGGGAGGGAACCTCCCTCGATCCATGGACTTTGCGATCGCGCGCCAGATCCATGGATCGCTAATCCATGTTTGCGCGCCCCCGACATGGGCCCGATGGCCCACACCGCCCAGGAGCGTGCAGATTCGCGACCAGCCCATGGCCGATCCATCGGCGATGCATCGACGGTTCCAGCTCGACGATCCCCTCTGAGCTGGCCCCCCCTCTCGATGCCCCGAGCCTCAGCCATGCCGGAGAACAGCATGCCAGAACGTTTGTGCCGTGAGTCGTTCGAGCTCGCCGGGAGGTCTTGGCCTCCTTTCGCAGCATCGCCCAGCATCGGCCAACGTTGCACGATCTGCGCTATCGGGCAGCCGCGATCGATGAAGGTGTAAGTCGGGCGTGTTCCTCTACAGGGGGCGAATCCAAGAATAGTACAAACAAACTTGTCTATGCTTCGACTATTATTGCACTATTCGTGAATCGTTTTGGATTTCTCCCGAAATCCGCCCGTAGGAGGACATGCCCGACCCAACTTAAGATTGAGCGGTCCACGCGGTGTCAGACGCCAGCGCCGAAGTCACGTCACGAACCTGATCGGACAAGAACGAGAAGCGCTGCTGTAGTCAAATAGGCGTATTGGGCGAAGAAGAAAAGGAAGGCGAGGACAACGAGAAGTCGATGACGAGGACGACGTGGCGAACGTGAGGATAGCGAGGACGAATCCGCCGCGCCACTCTCAGACGCCGTTTGCCACAGGGAGCTCCGCCCACGCAGCGGGTGGCCCCCCTGCGGTGTCTGCACCCGCTCTCCGCGCACGCGAGGCGCCGGAGGCTCTCGACCTCTTGCTTGGCATCGCTCGGACGTGTGCCTTTTTTTCGGCGAGAACCATCGAGGACCATCCTTTGTCAAGGCGAAAAAACCACACACGAAACCAAAAAAAAACACAGGGAATGGACGTCCGAGCGATGGCGAGCTTGAGCTGCTGAAGAAATCACTCGCTTCGGCCGTCATCGGTCCAGCCTCGCTCCCCGGGCCCTTCCCCTGGCGTCGCTCGGACGTGTGCTTCTCTTCTCGGCCAGGGCCGTCGAGGAGAATCTAGGATCCAGGGCCAGACCTGAACGGTGTTTTGGCGACTTCGTGGGCCGTTTTCGTTTCGACTTCGTTCTGCGGTAAAGGAGTACAGGCGGATTGAAGAAAAAACGAGGGAAAACGAAAACAAACAGAAAACGAGAAACACCGTTTAGGTTCAGCCCTGAAAAAAGACACGCGCGACATCGAAAGATGCACGTTGATTGGACGTCCGAGCGATGGCAAGCCACTGGGGCTCCAATCTCTCAGGCCATGCTTTTTTCTGGCTGCGCCCCAGCCGCGGCGACGAGAACCTCCAGAGGCCCTCGAAGACCTGAGATTCCGTTGCTGGCGGGCGGCAAGGGGGGGTGACCTAAATGGGCGGTGAAGAAAATTGCCCCGACGGGGCCCTCGTCTTCACCCCCCCCCTTTGGGTCACCCCCCACCTGCCGCCCGCCCGAGGTCTGCGAGGCAAAACGCCCCCCGCCGGGTCCAGAGGAGGAGCCGTCGAGGCGCGTCCCCCTCGCCCGCCAACTTTGGGGCGCGGGGGCCTCTCGGCATCAGCGGCACCGTTTTTGGGCCTCTTTCTGGCATGTCGGCGTCGCCCACCTCGGGGCGAGGTGGGTTCGCCGGGTCAATGGCCAAAGTGCCCGCTAGTGGAGCCCCCGTGAGAGAAGGGCTTTTCGGTACTTCTCTTGGCGGGCGATTCTTCCGCAAACGGCGGTGCCCCTGCTGCTGCCTCCCGCCCTTGGCGCCACGGGGCAGCAGGGCAGGGACGAAAAAAGCGTGGCCTCGGGGGCTGGGGGTTTTATCCATACCCCCGCTCTGGCTCCTCGTGGGGTCGGGGCGCGAGCGGGGGCATGGACAACATGTCGATTGCTTATGGATCCCAAGACGTCGACCTCGAACCTAGACTCTCGAACCTCGCTGGGGTCCTCCTTGCTCGGCGGCGAGCGAAGGTGGGACATGAGAAGGACAGGACCTTCTCAGAAGGCGGCGGGACTTCTCAGAAGTCCCCGCGCCTTCGGAGAAGCTGTTTGTACCTTCGGGGAAGGCTCAGAGCACCTGTACAGTGCCGTTTTTAATACATGCTCCGCGTGCGGATCATGTATTAAAAGTGCAGGGATTGGGTATGAAAAGCAGCGATGAGTAATTCACTCAAAAAATAATCATGATGAGGCTTTGGCTTCACCGTGAAGCAGCGTCGGAACTTCATGCGAAGACGATGGGTAATTGGCAAGACGAATGGAGATTGAGAGTCTAATGTTGTACTCGCTGTTGTATTTTCATTTGCTCCCGTATGCTGTGCCCAAATCTTCTCCCCAAATTTGAACATGTTGGAAGTCTCTTTTGTCCTGACCGCGCGGAAGTGCATGAGGAGTGCCCCAGAATCTAAAACATGTGGCAAATCCTACGTGTTTTTGGACCCTGACCCTGTCGATCCGCGTGAGGAGTGCCACCGAATTTCAAAATGTTGAGAATCCCATGGGCTTTCGGACCCTAACTCCGCCGATCTGCGTGAGGGGTGCACTCGAATTTCAAAAATGTTGCAAATTCCATATTTTTGCACCCTGACCCCGCCGATCTGCGTGAGGGGTGCCACCGAATATTCGAAATGTGGCGAATCCCATGTGTTTTTGGACCCTGACCCCGCCGATCTGCGTGAGGGGAGCCACCGAATTTCAGAAATGTGGCAAATCCTATATGTTTTGAGACCCTGAGCCCGCCGATCTGCATGAGGGGTGCCACCGAATTTCAGAAATGTGACAAATCCCATGTGTTTTTGGACCCTGACCCCGCCGATCTGCGTGAGGGGTGTCAATTTGTACCCACCCCAGCAATTCAGACAACATGCTGAGGGCGTGCTAAACCTGCCCGTTTGGGTCTCCCCCCCCTCGCGGGGTCCATCAACAAGGAACAGTAAGCAACAAGAAGCAGACTTTTCACAGTGGAAACTGGAAGCTGCAACTGGTACAAGAAACTGCGAACCTTAGCCTGGTGTCACAAGGGGGCCGGCGGATTTCTACGCGTCCCCTGGCCTCGCCCCCTGGGCCGCGCACATGGCCTCAGATCACGATTTGCGACCCCCCCCACTAGGACGGCCCCCTCTTGGACGCCCCCGACCTACATTCCGACGATCCGATGCGGCCAGATGCTTGCATGGCGCTGGTGTGCATCTTGGCGCGGCCGCTTTGACTCGATTCCGACTCCGCGGCGCTGCCGGCCGATCCGACGCACAGTCCGGTCCAATCCGATTTCCTGATTCGATGCCGGTTGATCCTCCTCTGGCCGTGGCAGGCCCTCCGTGTTTGGGTGGCAACTTTGTTTCTCAAGTTTTTGTGTTTAGAGTGCACTAGCGTGCGCTGGCGTCTGGTCATCGATGAGAGGGAAAGCGCCGGTTCAGCGTCGATGTCGCGTGGATTGGCGCCGACGGGCGTCGACTGACGGTTGTTGGCGTCGATCAGCGACGGTTAGCCAGCGCTAGCCAGATTTCGGAGGCTCCGTGGAGTTTCCGCATGATGGGCCAACATTTTCCACCACCGCTACCATGATTAGGACGGGGGAGAAGGGAGGATGAGGAGCCCCTCCTCCCCCTCCTCCCCCCCCTCCTCCTCCTCCTCCTCCTCCTCCCCCTCCTCCTCCTCCTCCTCCTCCTACCTGTGGTAGTGGTGGTGGAACATGGGCCCATCACGAGTCCTGCGTGCGCCAACCCCGCAGGCGCGCCGCCGGGCGACGAGCGGCACGCCAGCCCCCCGCGCGACGCCGAGCGGCCGCGCCCCGGCGCCACCCGCTCGGCGTCGCCCGAGGTGCGCTCGCCGCTGCCGCGAGCCAGGGCGACGCCGCGCCCCTGCGCCCCGCGTCGGTCCTCGACGGGGCACGTCAGGAGGGAGACGACGAGTTTGATGAAGAGGGCGACCACGATCACGATCACGATGATGATAATGCTGATGCTGCTGATGATGATGATGGTGGTGATGATGATGGTGATGATGATGATGATGATGATGATGATGATGATGAGGGTGATGAAGGTGATGATGATGCTGATGATGATGCTGCTGATGCTGATGCTGATGAAGGTGATGACGATGCTGATGATGATGGTGATGATGATGGTGATGGTGATGAAGATGCTGATGGTGATGATGATGGTGATGGTGATGGTGATGGTGATGATGCGGATGTGGATGCTGCTTGCTGCTGCTGATGCTCATGATGCTGATGTTGATGCTGATGCAGTTTGCGATGACGATGTTGATGATGATGACGACGATGATGAGGAGGAGGATGAGGAGGCTGAGGAGGATGAGCAGGATGAAGATGAGGACCCAGATGAGGATGAAGATGAAAATGGTGAGGTCTATGAGGATAATGAGGATGATCTGGGTGATGCGGATTATGATGAAGACGCTGATGATGACGGTGGTGTTGATGATGATGATGGTGGTGATGAGGATGCTTCGGATGATGCGGAAGATGATGCTGCTAGTGATAATGACGACGATGTTGTTGGTGGTGATGATGTTGTTGATGATGACGACGATGATGATGATGATGGTGAGTGAAGCACATGTTGGCTTTGACGATTCTGATAATCATGCTGGTGATGATGGTGATGCTGGTGGTGATACTTATCATGATGATGACGACGCTGATGAAAGGTGGTGATGGTGAATGTGACGATGAGGATGTTGGTGATGATGATGTCGATGGTAATGGTGATGGTGATGATGATGACAGTGATGATGGGGACGATGATGATGACAATGGTGATGATGATTGTGAGGATGATGGTGACTAGGATGGTGGTAGTGATGATGCCGATGCTGCTGATGATCAGTTGCGGATGATGGTGACGATACTCTTGGTGCTATTGTTGATGATGATGATGTTGACTGTGATGATGATGATGATGATGATGCCCGTGATGATGAATGATGATGATGACGACGATGATGATGATGATAATGATGATGATGATGCTGATGATGATGATGATGATGATAATGCTGATGCTGATGCTGATGATGGTGATGCTGTTCACAATGACGATGACGATTATGATGACGATGACGATGATGGTGAGGATGCTGATCACAATGATGATGACATGATGACGACGGTCATGGTTATGGTAATTGTGATGATGATGATGATGATGATGATGATGATGATGATGATGGTGATGATGATGCCGAGGAGGATGCCGAGGAGGATGCCAAGGAGGCTGGGAGGAGGAAGGGGTCCAGGGTCCAGTGTAAACCCAAGTTCCCTTTCTCATAGGTCTGAACAAGGCCTTCATTAATGGCTTCGCTCATGTTCCGGGCCGTACTGTGCCATCGCAGGCGTTTGTTTGCGCGTTTGTGTCCTTTGGGGACCTTTTGGGGGCTTCTCTGGGGTCTCCTAGGCGCCTGTTTGGGAGTCTTGGGCCGCTCTCGGGGCCTCCTGGGCAGGTCCCTACAAGGCTTGAGTTTCACTGAAGAAAGTGCCCTGTTGGACGGCATTTGTTTGAAAATCATGAACCGTGCCAAAGCACAAATCCTGGGACTTTAACGCCGTGGTCCTGACGATCCTAGATCGTGCCAGATCACCGTTCCTGGGACTTCAACACTGCGAATCGATGTGGCCGTTGCGCCCTGACAGTCCTCCACTCCATCGTGCCAAGAAACCATTTCTGGGAGTCGACCTTCAGAACCACTGGAATTGCTACAAATTTGTTGGACGAATGTGCGCGGCGCTGGGGCGAGAGTCACATTTCGAAAAGGACCCGCCCTGCATCCATGATATTGTAAAAGTCCTCAGCTGAAGGATCACAACTGTCGAGTAGGGGATCGACTACAGAATTGATTTACCCCAAAATTGGTTGTCTCGTCGAATCTGAGAAAATTTGCAGAAGTCTCAGTAGATTGCTGAACATTCTAGGTCTTCGTCGTAGAGTCGATGGAGAATCAATTTTGGGGTACATCAATTCTGTAGTCGACCCCCTCGAGACTGGTCCAGGAGCCCCAGGCGAAGCGCCCGGCCCGCCCTGCCGACATGCCTCGTGGTGCGACGGGGAGGAGTTGTTTCGAATGCAGTCGTCCACGGTAACCGCAGGACGTGTCAGCGATGCCGCAGTGCACCCGCCCGCCACAGGTCCCCTCATCGTCGGCTTGGTAGCGCTCGGACGTGTGCTGTTTTTGTCGGCGGGGATTGGTGAGGAGCATCCTGGAGCATCCTGCGAAAAAACAACCACGCACGAGACCGAAGACAGCACAGGGAATGGACGTCCGAGCGACGGGGAGTCGGTGCGTAGATGCACTCGCTCTTCCTGCGCAAATCGCCGCTCGAGCGTGTGCATTTTTCCTCGGCGAGGACCATCAAGGAGCACTTTGCTCACCTTGGAAAAACAAAAAACAAAAAAACGCACGAAGCCGAAAAATGCACAGGGAATTGGACGTCCGAGCGATGGCGAGAGGTCGCCCGCGGGGACGCGGGGGCTGCACAGTGTTGCGCGCAGCGGTGCGGGCCGGGGAGCCGTCCGTCTCCTGGGCTGTCCTTCTCCAGGGGACGGCTCCTGGGCGCGAGAGTGTAACGGTGCTGCACGCATCGCCGGGCGTGATGCGCGAAGTGAGGCGGCCCAGGGTCCGCTTGTGGTCATCGATTGTGCGGTGGTCTCCGGCGAGGGCCCCCTGCTGGAACATGTGCCGTGCTCCAGCCGCGTATCTTGGCATCGCTCGGACGTGTGCACTGTTTCCCGGCGAGAGCCATCGAGCACCATGCTGGACCATCGAGCCAAACAAAAACACGCACGAAACCGAAGGAGGAGAGGAGGGCCGCCCCCCCTGCTTCCCCACCGCCGTGCCCCTCCTCCACGCCCCGCCTCCCCTGCCTCTCAAACCTGTCGTCCTGCCCGTCGTCGTCGCGGTCGTGTCGATGGCCGCCGCTCCTCTCTCTGCCAGGACTTCGCGCCCTCTCGGGGCGCGCCACTCCTCCTCCTCCTCCTCCTCTCTCCTCCTCCTCCTCCTCCTCCTCGTCCTGCTCCTCCTCCTCCTCCTCCTCTCCTCCTCCTCCTCCTTGGTCCGTTTCCCGCCCACGCCCCCGCCGTCGCCGTCGCCGTTCGTCGTCGCGGTCGTGTCGATGGCTGCCAGTTCTCTCTCTGCCAGGACCCTGCGCCCCCTCGGGGCGCGCTCCTCCACCTCCCGTGTGCCGCTCCACGCGCCCGCGCCCCCGCCCTCCCCCCCCCTCCGTCCACCCCCTCCGCAGATCTCCGACGTCGTGTTGTCTTTTTCTCTCGCAAGGGCTGCCTCCTGGATGCCTGGACCGATTCCTGGCTTTCGTCCCTGGCCGTTCTTCGACGGTCGGGTGGGGGGGGGGTCGCGGCGAGGGCTCTGGGAGGCCGATGAGGACCAGACAAGCTGTGTTTCTCGAAGCGCGCCCCCGGCAGTCTCGCGCAGACGTCCCTCGGCGCGTAGGCCTTTCTCTTCGGCGTGGACACTCCTCGGCGCTCCGGCGCCACCGACGGGCTCTCGTGGGGCAGGCCCCCCAGGGACGAGTGGCCGGCCCCCTCGCCTCGCCTCGCCCCGGAAGTCGCAGCAGCTTCCCCAGAGCCAGTTGTTTTGTCGTCCCGGAAGCATCTCGGGGGCCCCCAAACGGGAGCCTTGAGACGGGGGTCAGTGCAAACGGAGGTCAGCCACGGCACCAGATCCTGCAGGATCCTTCGAAGACCCCCTCTGGCTGACCCGGGTTAGCGAGCCGCCCGTGGCCGCGAGGCGGCCGCACATATTGGCTGACCCGGGTTTGCGAAGACCTGCGTTGCAGTTTTTTTTTTTTCCTGCACTGCAGTTTTTGGTTTCCTGCTGACCCGGGTCTGGATTGACCTGGGTCAGAAGATTCCCGACGACGTCTCGGGCGACAGGGGCCTCCCGGGTCCCAAGACCGTGCGGTGACGGACCGTGCGGTGAGGTCTTGGGGGACTTCGATGTCACCGCACGGTCTGTCACCGCACCGTTTCGGGACTCCGAAGCATTCGTGACAGTCCCGGGGCCCGAGGGCGAGGCCGAGATTCGGGAGGAGCGTCGGCAGGGAAGGCACGTCCGATCGGCGGGCGTCTGTGAGCGCAAGGGCGTCAGGGCCTCCCCCCCCCCAGGCAGCTGGCGGCGCCTCGACTGTTTCGAGACACGGGCCCCCGCCTCCTCGACCACGTGCCCGGGGCCGGCTCTGCATCTTTGGGCCGCTGTTTGGACGCCCCCCCGAGGCTCGGTACGGGCTTCGAGAGGCCGATATACAGATTTACACACATATACACATGTATACAGGTATGTGTACATATTTATATATATATATATATATATATAGGCATGGCATATACATACATATACATACATGCATATGCATAGTTATATATATAGGTGTACGCGTGAGTATGCATGCATATAAACAACAATTGGCACATACATACATACATAAATACATAAATACATACCTACATACATACATAAATACCTACATACATACATACATCCATACATACATACATACATACAAGCATACATACATGCATAGATACATACATACATACATACATACACATACATACATACATACATACATACATACACACATACATACATACATACATACATACATACATAAATACATACATACATACATACATACATACATACATACATACATACATAAATCAAACACTAAATACATAAATATATAGATGCATGTATGTTTCAAGGACTTCGCCCTCTGCCGCCAGCCCCACTATTGCTAGTGCGGGCGGCTGCGCGGGGGTCTCCTTGAGGCCTCTTGGGGGTCTCCGTGGGGCCTCTTGGGGGTCTCCTTGGGACCTCTTGGAAACAGTATTTTGGGTCTCTTGGAGGTCTCCTCGGGGCCTCTGGGGACCTTCTTGGGGCCTCCTGGGGCCCTCTCGGGCGGAAAGGTGAAGTTTTCGGTTCGTGGACCCTCTTGGGCCTCTCTTGGGACCGTCTTAGGTCCCTTTTGGGCCGTCTGGGGCGCCTCTTGGACCGTCTTGGGCCCTCTTCGGCCGTCTTGGGGCCGTCTTGGGAACCTCTTGGTCCGTCTCGGAGCGTCGGAAAGTCGAAAAGACGAGAAGGTCAAAAACGTTCTAAAACGTTGTATTCGGAACATATTTGATTCTTGCTTCGTGGGGCCCTCTTGGGAGGCCTCTTGGAGGCCTCTTGGTCCATCTTGGGAGCACCTTGGGCCTTCTTGGGACCATCATGTCATGGGCCATCTTGGGGCCATCTTGGGCTCTCTTCGGAGCCTCGTCGGGCAATCTTAGAGGCGTCTCGGGCCGTTCTGGCCACGCGGTGGCGTCACCATGAGAATTCTGGGGTGGCCCGGAGCTGCCTGGATTTGAGGTTCCTCCCCCCCGTTGGCTGTTTGGTGACGCGGCAGGGCCCCTTACCAGACAGTAAACAGGAGGCAGGAAAGAGAACTGGAGAGACAGAGGGCCAAACAACAAATGACAACACATAACACGTGACAGCAGACCGCACACACCTTCGTAGCCTTGAGCCCCCGGAGGGGGCCGAAGGATGTGTGTGTACATATAAATATATATAAGTGTATGTATATATGTATATATATATATATATATATATGTATGTATATATATAAACATAAATTAATAAAAACAAACTCTGCCTCGATGCCTTGGAGGCGCCAGACGTCTGGGTCCGCGCCCGCCCTCGCGCAGGCGAGGCCGCCCGGCGTCCAGGACCCCGCCCGGCGCCCAGGGGCCGCGACGGGGGGGGAGGGAGGGAGGGAGGAGGAGGAGGAGGAGGAGGAGGAGGAGGAGGAGGAGGAGGGGGAGGAGGAGGAGGGGGAGGGTTCAGTTTGAGAGGGGAGGAGGAGGGGGGAGGAGGCCGGGCGTTGCGCAGTGAGCCATCCAGAACAAAAGAACCTTTATAACCTTGATAGCGCGGTGAAGACGTGGCCTCACTGAGGTCCCCGTCCTCGCATAGTAGTCGAAGAAGAAGAAGAAGAAAAAACGACACGAACATAAGCTTGTGGCGCTCCGCGCGGAGTTCCTGGATCGGCGCCTGGGCCCCCCCCGGCGGCGCCTCCGGCGCCGCCCGTGGCGCGCTCCGCGCGCCATTGGAGGGGGGGTCCGGCGCAGATCCACGAAATCCGCGCGGAGCGCCAAAAGCTTTTGTTCATGCATTGTTTTATTCTTCTAAATAACACGATGAAGACGTGGCCTTGCTGAAGTCCCTTTCTTCGCATTTGGGATGATCGATCTCGGCGGTTTGGTCCGATGCATCAGCAGAGAAGACCCCCCCTAACCCTAGTGTTTTCGGGCCTCTCAGCTCGGGTCTGTCTCCTCCCGGAGGATTGGTTTCTTCTTGGTTAATCGGTGCGGGGGGGGGGATCATGGGGGAGGGCGCCACATGCGAACCCTACCCCTACTCCCCACGATTTCTGGAGGGGAGGGTGGGGTTCACTTCGTTCGGAAGCTCCCGAGCTAAGTGAACCCCACCCTCCACCTCAGGAATCGTGGGGGGTAGGGGTAGGGTTCGCATGTGGCCCCCTACATGGGGGGGTGAACGTGCACCTTCCGTACACGTCAGGGGGCCCTCGAGGAGCCCTCCTGGGCCCCGAACGGGGCAGGAGAGGTTGACGCTTCTTCGCCCCCACCCCCGCCATGTCGGCGCAACGCCAAAGAGTGGCGCGCGGCACCCGCCTGCCTGCTGGCCTCCCGAGTCCCGCCAGCCCTGAGCTGCGGGCGCTGCAAGCTCTCACACCGGGCGTTCTCCCCCTGTCTCCTGCCGCCCTTCCGCCGCCTTCCGACGAGGAAGAGATGGACCACCCGCACGAAGGTCTAGGATCATTTTTCCTCGGTGGAGTGAGTCACCCCCTGTGTCGGTGTTGATGCCGATTTCCATGCATTTCTCCATTCCCATCCCACCACCCATCCGGGACCCCCTCGAGTTGTGGAAGCATCACGACGGGAGGTCTTCGGAACTGGTTGGCTTCTCAGGGTCCCTGGCGGGCCCCCGAACCGTCAAAAAAACAACTCGGGATGAGAAGCAGATGCTGGGGAAGGGGTCGAGACCTCCTTTGGTCCGCGTTGTGAAAGAAATCACGACGCCGGGGGTCTGGAATCTGCGGTATTGGTTCCCCTGTCGGATGCAAGTCTTGGGAGGTCATATTCTGATGTTGCCCTGGTCCGAAATGCGATTTAACCCTACTTAATCCCGCTTAATCCGGCTTGATCCCGCTTGATCCCGCTTTATCTGGCTGGATCCCGCTTCATCCGAGGCCCCCTCCGGCGTAACCGCCTCCTATAGAAGGCTCAGTCCTCTTTACTCCTTCCGACGAAGACCTCGCAGTGGTTGCCTCCGAATGTGTCCCTCGCCTTGCTCACACCCTCCCGTCCAAACCCCATCGATCCGTTCCGAAGCCGGCCCCCGCCAATTCCTTGGCATCGCTCGGACGTGTGCATTTTTTCTCGGCGAGATCCATTGAGGACCATCCTGGACCTTCGAGCAACAAAAACACACGCACGAAACCGAATAATGCTCGGGAAATGGATGTCCGAGCGACGGCAAGATCCGATCCTGTTCGTCCTGCCGATGCTCCGACGATCCGGTGCGGCATCGAGATGCTCGCGTGGCGCTGCTGCGCAGCCTGGCGCGGCCGACACGATCCGGTTCCGACTCCGCTCCTGCCAGGCCCGAGCCGGCGCACCTTCCGATCCCACCCGTTGGGCGCCGCGTAATGGGGGGGTCATAAATGAGGGGGTGGCGAGGGTGGTTCGAAAAGGTACCCAAACGGTACCTAAACGAGCCCCTTGGGGCTCTGGAGGGGCCTGAAAGGGGCACGAAAGGGGACCTTTTCTGACCTCCCCAATTGTGACCCCCCCGTGAAGCCAAGCCCAAGACCCGATCTCCCGACGGGGTTTTTGCCTGCCTGCCTGCCACCGTGCCTGCAGTGTGTCTCCTCCTGCACTGCCACACCCCCGAGAGCCGGCAGCGCGAACGAAGTGCAGCACCACGAAAGATCACGGCCAGAGTTGGTTGTTTAGGATCCAGAAGACAACCCAGGTCGTCGGGCCCGGCCCGGGGTAACCTGCCTTTGTCCATTGCGCAGGTCCGAATTCGGCCCATCGGTCGTTGAAAGTAGGTTTTGGGGTTCCCAGATCCCAATCTTGTTTAGGCGCCGTCCTACTTCAATGATCGAGTGGCTTCACCTTTTCCGTCCTCTTCCGGGGGCGTGCGGACGCCCAATCTACTCTCAACGTCTTGCCTTTTTCATGGTTCTACCTACTTCTTCCGACCGATGGGTACGCGGTGTTGGCGCGCGCAGGCGTACGGCTGGCTTCCCAAAGCGAAGAGGTCAGGTTGTCCTCCCCCCCCACCGGATAGCCCGGGGCATCGCCGAAAGATATAATTACACCAGAGAAAAACCCCAATCAGTGGATTGTTTTCGCTGAGGT